TAGCTATTAATCATTGTGTTAGACTTCGATATCAAGGATGTGTTTTAATTATTCAATATGAATTTCAGATATAATTCTGTTATTGCTTTGATAAAATCAACATGAATTGAAAAGGAACAACAGTATAAGGATAGAAAGCATATAGACATAGGACTATTTTTATGACATTTATTCAAATATACGTTTTGTTTATCATTGAGAGACATGTCTAATCAAAGTTAGATAATTATTAAGCAGAACTTGAATAAGCTATGAATTAGTATATCTTTATTTTTCACTATTTTAACTTTAATTTATGTCTGATTAATTGAATAATAGAAATTCGAGAAAGTCTTTGATGTTGTTGTGACAAAAACAACTCATTGAAATATCTGAAAGAACACTCAGTCACACATTGAAGAAATAATGAACTTTCATAGAGCTAATTTATCATTAAAAATCTAGCATTAGCAACATGACTCGCCGAAGGACATTTACTTTCATTTCATAAATTTTAGTTTTAAAAACTTTAAATGACAGCAACATTTTCGAAAACTAATTAATAGATTTCCGTAGACAATTGTTGAGACTAAACAATCTCTATCGAAAGTTTTCTGAGCATGGAAAGATTTTTCAAAAAAATGGACTTACTTTTCGTTAGCATAACATGAAAATTTCGAAGAGGAAAAATTTTTGAGTTCGATCTTACTGAAAATTTTATCATAGATATAGTTTATACTGTATAGTCGATCCTGAATTTTTTCTTGAATACTTAGACAAATAATCACTCATTATTAACTATAATTATGCATCAATTGAAAGAGGTAACATTTTTACGTATGCCTATGGTAAAAGAACTTATTCAGAATAATTTCTACTTTTTTTTTGTTTCTTTACTTGCTTTCAGTTGTAACGATTATCTTTTATTACAGATAATATAATAATGATAAAAACAATGGAAGAATTTCTTATTGATGCACAAAATGAAGTAGAAAATATTTTCATACTTCAATATTAGCATTCATTTATTGAAGATATATGAAATACATATGAAAATAGTTTCTAGATTTCTTATTCTTTTTTTTAAATTTAGACAAAATCCTCATGAATATAGATAGTAAGAAAGAAAACTAGTAGTTACTGACCCCTATTATCTCCTACTGAACGAAATAATGAATTTGATGCATTTAATGGTATTTAGTATACAGCTAAATTTTGTAAAAATGGAATGCATAAAATAGTACGTCATCAACAAACTGTACTAATATATTGCAATACTTATATATTTGAATAAATACTGCGTTATGTTACTTATTTTCAAATGGTATTTATAACAAAGCCATATATGAGATCAGATATTGGAATTGAAAATGAATATTCCTATGAAACAGCATCACATTATTATTTAAAAACATAGACCATGATCATATGATATAAAATAAATTTTTTTTTTAAATTGTTCTATTAAAATATTAGTCGTCGATGTTTATATGTATCAAATACTGGTTTCTTTTTGTTATCGTTAAATGAAAATGTAAATTCTTATGGTTGGTAGCTTGAGTGAATTTTAGATGGAATATTGAACGAATATTTTCAAAACTTTGTTCAATACGAAAACAGATAGATAAGGCTGAGACATTTTATAGATTAAAAAAGTGATCTTCGTGACAATTATTAGGTGGAACAAAATTTATTTTAACTGTTAGTTTACAAATAAGCTTCGAGAAAGTTTTCTTGATATACGTGTGAATATTCTTATAAAGATCATCAATATTTCTATTTTCATGCTTGATTTGTTTACTTCAAACATGTATTCGTAAGTAACTACAAATCTAATATCAGACTAAGTTATCTGACCAAATTGTATATCATACATACTTAAAAGTATACCTTGGAAATCATTGTAGTATAAGATCTGCTCAGCAACAAGTGCTTCACAGGCAGACGAAGATAGCTTCATGAATTCCTTACTGATTCGTACTTGTCTCGCTGTGGAATACAAACCGATCTAGTAGTTTGATGATTCGGTGGCCATCAGGTGCACGTACACAGAGATCATAATGACCAATTTTAGTCTTACTATCTTATTTTTTCTAAGGAATGAATAAAACTCAAAAACCAAGAGTCATCAAATGGGTAAGACTTTCGTTAGTTTACGAATAATTTCAATAGATAACATAAAGCTCTGTGATAATAAACAGCGACAACTTCAAAACCAACATTCATATGATTACTTGTGTTGATTAATAATCAATTCATGAAATAATTTTGAAATTCAAATGTTAGTTTTAAAAAATAGTATTTAAAATGTATCTGAGCTGAGTGCTTTTAAAGGGACTCTGAAGTCAACTGATAAAATGTGAATAAATTCATTCTTCACATTTCGTTATTTAGATCTTTCATAAGTTGACTTCTACTTCAAGATTGGTAATTCTTTTCAAATATACATATATTTTTGTTTCTTTCGTCTCACAGTAATTTGAAAATAATACAGTAAAAGTTTTAATTGTTTTTTTCTCAATTCTAAATATCTCTCTATTTCCAATGATGCCATCTAGATGAGATACTGTAACTGGCTGAGTTGCCGATCTCAGAACTACATTAACATGCTTCTTGCGTATTTAGAAAAAGGAAAGCATAGCTTTATCACATCAAGATTAACCGATCATTTTTATTCGCTCTTGAATAAAACATTGATTAGCTGACGAAAGCCATCAAATATCTATAACATGGATGAAATTGAATAACAGAATAATGTGATATTTCGTAAAAGTGAATATTTATTAGAAAGGTACTATAACCATGAATTTCCACAGTATTTCTTTTGTTGCAACGAATAATGTAGCTACTCGATGAGTGTAAGTCTAATGAGTTGATTGCATCGTTCTTTTTTACATTGTCTTAGATCATCTGTCATGCACATAGACGGATCATTGTTGACTAATACTGTTGATTAACTTATTTATAATTGTCGACTATTCAATATTGTTTCTTATACACCAACACTATATATAAGGAGGTAATAATTATACTCTTTCATTTCTAAATATCAAGATGAAAAAAATTACTCGATTAGAAGACTTATCTAATGAATTGTTCTTCGAAATATTTGGTTATTTACATGCACTTGATATTTTTACGGCATTTTCAATATTCAATCAACGTATTACATTGATACTGACTTCAATTTCACTTCGTATTGTTGTTTCCTCACATCAAGCAGTTTAAATTTCTCTTGAGGATTTCATTCGTGATTTTACATCTGTTATTTCTTTCTTTTTCATTCGATATACATTTGAAAATCTTGAACTATGTGCACTTTATTCATCACATTGGTCAATACAAATATGAACTGCATTGCAACAATTAAAAAAAATCTCATTAAACTAAGATCGCTTCGATTTATCGTAGGAAATCATAGGCAAATTTGTGAAGAAGAGAAACAATATACAAGTCAAACTATTTTAACATATCAATCATCTTCACTTCGCTCGGTCGATTTCGTATGTTACTTCAATCATTCGCATTTAACAACTGGTGCTACTCTTAACTGGACATTAACATCCATGACTTTAACAGTTTATGGTTTACCTCATCAGTTCTCAATTTATTGTGTTCTATATGTATTTCATATTTATCGTGCATTAAGACGTTTACGTGTATTTATATTAATTCTTGCAAATTCAAATATTCAACATGCATAGTAAGTTTTTTTTATGAAATGATATAATTTCGTATTAGACTATCTGCAAATTGAGAGAAGAAAATAAATAGAATTTTTATTACGATTGATAGTGGTACAGTAGTTTTAACCAAAAGTTATACTGATGTCTTCTCTATGGAATTCTCTGCGAAATTATTTAATTTTGACAAGCTATAAAAAGGATTTCATATTTAGCAGAGCTTGTTCATTCTACAATGGTAAGATTAGGATTTAAAGAAAACTATGTGAAATAAAAAATATGTAACCGTAATGGAATTTTTGTCATCACTGACATAAAAAAAAAAACTAATTCGTAGTAAACTAATGAAATAGAAAAAAATCTACCTTCATATATATTCTTACTCATATTTTTATGTTTCTTTGTAAGATATAAAATGAAAGATGATTTTTAATGGTGAAATAGGATTCTATTGATTTTAGACAATATATTACTTTCATCACTCAAAACAGGTTAAACTAGACCTCTACCCGGCCCAAGGCCGGCTAGAAAAGTCGGCTGACTGCAGAGCCCGAAAAATATCAAAATCTGGTCCTATACGACATCTACTATTTCTAAACCCAAGACTTGTGTAGAAGAAACCATAATGAATCTGAATCGTCGATTTCCATATAAGAAAGCTCTCAGCTGTTCATTATCGTTCATTGTCTCATCTGTATAAACAATGAAGAGATATTTTTAAACGTTTGAGACTCTTTCATGGATGAATTTAAGTTATGCAAGACAATAATTAAAGTATATATGCACATAAGATCTGAAATATGAATGGTGTGGGTGCGTGTGAACGAGAAGAACAGCCACCCATACACCCACACCCGTGTAGGTACAGTGATATAGTCCCAACAGTATAGGAAGAGTGATATACTTATGAGGATATCGGTAAAATGATATATTCAAAAGAATATAGGCAGAATGATATATCTATAAGGATATACGTGATGTCATATACTCACAAGGCTAAAGGTAGAGTGCTATATTCATGAGGAAACAGGTAGCGTGATATACTTCAGAGGATAGGTAGAGTAATATATCCATGGGGATATAAGTAGCGTGATGTTCTCACAAGAGTATAGGTAGAGTAGTGTACCGCAAAAGGATATTGATGAAGTACTATATCCATGCCGGTATTGTTAGATTGGCCTATCTATGAGGATTGGAATTGAATGTTATATTCATGACTGTTTTCCTTCACGAATAGAGGTGTAAATTGTGAACTTTTTCGCGCTCTCTATCGATTTCAAGTGGTACCAGGTTGTTGAGGTCTAGTTGTTAGAAGGTTATATTTAGCTGGAAATACCGGTAAGTGTGTTTACAGATGAAAATTTTCTTTAGAGTGAGAAGTTAATTTGAATTATAATTCACTTATCAATATTCGACAGTATCAGTGATGTGAATAATGTGAGACTGAAGAAATCTTTTGCATTCCTATTAGACGGTCGTGTATGATCATACAAGATCGTACGGTTCGCTCATATGTGGATTTTAGTGTAAGATCTGATGTAAAATTGCAGACACGACGATTTTCCATACGATTTTTCGTATGATCCTATAGGATCAGGTACGATATTACTGTAATATCTGATACGGACTTACAAGAATCTGTCATTGATCTTAGAGTCTGACTTCTCGACCTGTGTGGTCTTGGAAGAATCGTACATCAAGATTTGATATAAATTTTGCAGACACGAAAATTTCTCACACGATTGGCGTCTGATATTACAAGATCATACACGCTTAGACATCTGATTCTAAGATCTTACGTCTGACTTTTTGAGCTGGGATTCCACATAATCCGAGCCCACCCAATCCTATTGAGTCAGAGCAGGGCTCGAAAAACATCTGACAGGCTAAATTTTTGCCACCTGAACTCCTATTGGTTGAGTGCGGACCCAGGAAACATCTGATTGGGCTGTTCAGTAGAACTTTAGTCGGAAAAGACAAATCTCTGCCACGAAGTCTGTTAGGCTCAAAGAGGTTTCCAGCTTGCGAAAGGTCCAAAGAACATTTTTTCTTCCTGTGCGAACGAACGTAACAACTCATTTTTCGTAAGACCCTCCTTTCAGTAGAGGAAACAAAATTAATCATTTTTTTTGTTGTTTTTTTTTATTTGACGAATATAGAATCTTTAAAAGCATTAATGTTTTGATTTGTAATATGTTGAAAAAGTGTTTGGAGTTATTATTGTTTTAAAAAAAATATGGTAAATCAAGATATATAAATTTAGTATGAATGAGAAATATATTAGAAAGATTTGATGTATAATAATTTGTTAAGTGAAATATCTAAGAGAAATGTTTTATCGTAGATAGGAGAAAAATTTTTCTATGAAATAGAACCTATTGGATTGGTTCGGATGCAACAACTTTGAAGTTTCAATGGTAACAAACTAAACATAATCTTAGTCAACTTTTTTTTTCCTAAAATACTTTTTATATAGGAAGGAAAATTTATACTGTTGTTCAATTAAAAAATAAATAGAATAGTTTATATTCATCAATTTGATTGGCAATATGTGAAAAGATTGAAAAGAATACACTCTTTGAATAGTTGTTCATGAGTATTGATTTAATATTTTATCTTTGGTAGGAATCAAATATTCTTAAAATCATAGTTTAAATAATAAAATCTTTTTGCTTTACTATTGTAGTATATGTTTATTGGAAATATCACAATCGAATTCCATTGTTTAAATTATATTACCATCATTTATAGTCAAAAATTTTCATACCTAAATAGAATTACAAGAAATGTTCATTGAGAATCGATTCACTGATTCTTAGACTGATGGCGTATGAATATTCATGCAATTGCTTTTAAATGTGAGCATGCGTTAACTAAAATCTATTTTCTCATAGACATTTATTTCAATTTCAAGACCCATGTTCTATGATTAAATTTACTCAACAAGTTATAATTTATATGAAACATTGATATGCTTGTCAACTTAATTTTTATACAACTCATATTAGTCGGTTAATTTCAAAAGCAATGACTAGATGTCTGATGTCGTTTGAGCTAAAAATTCCTAAGTCCTAAGTTATACCATAGATACTAAACTACTCTTTTTTTGGCTATAGTTGCCATATGGTAACCGTGTTACAGATAGACAGACAGACACATGTAAATTTACGTTTTTAGATCTTATCCTTTCAGTCTAGGGAATACTAAAAATGTCGATAGGAATAATATCCGATAATAAAAACATCGAATGATAATTATGTTGAAAGAAAAAATGTCAGCATCTAGATTTTACATTATTCGTATGTCAATAATTTATATTTGAATCGTTTTTTTGTCAATCTTGAGCATCAGCATTCAATACGATTAATGCGATAGAGAATATCATAAAACAATGGTTCACTACGATAGAACAATGTTCAAGAGTATAGTATTGATTTACAACATTTTTTTTTACATTTTGATTTTTTACACGCTCGATATTTTTTGTTTCGCTATTTCTTTGTCAGGTGACCCAAAGGAAATATTATCGAAAATCTTTTTACAAAATTGCTAAGTATTGCTCAATTCAATATAAAAGGTGAGTTGGCATTTTTGTGAAACAGAATCTGAAAGAAGTGTTGAAATATTTAGAGTAGACATTTTTTACCCAAACTCTCTTTCCTACAGCTCGCGACAGTATGTTCTATAAATATATGTCAGATATTACTCCGATTTTTCTACACCCATGTCATTTTTATAACTTATATTGAAAATTTTCGTTGAAAAGGTAGACAGAAAGTCCAAAGGATCTCCCCTATAGAACCATACTAATCGCAGGTTTCTATATTGTATTATTTAGACAAACGGAATCGATTTTACTAGGAGTGACTAGATGGCGCCAGGACACAATACTATTTTTCTTCAAACATTAAAGGCCGAAAATCACAATATTTAATTTCAAGTGCCAAAACATTTTTCTGATGCAATCGCGAAGACTATAGTGCTTGAGTAGAGACGATAAATTGTACTAGAAATATTGCTATTCTGTTAATGACAAAAATATATGAATCATCGAGTTTATAATCAACTTTACCGTCTGTTGCATCATCGATTTTTTGATGTTTAGTGTCATCAGTTTCATCATCCACTTCATCGCGTTTCATTGTCCGACTCATCATCGATAAGGGGTTTTTCGATTTGTTGAACATATGCGGCTTCTCATCTCAAAACGAGTTCGTTTTGATGAGTGTGAGTGATATAGCTGTTGGCGATAACGAAATCTTACGTATCTAGCCAATGAAAGATTAATCAATGAACGTTTGCTAATTAATTGGAAGCTGGTGTTGTGTTCGCGTGCACATGATTTCATAGTGATTCATGCTTATTCAAGATAGTTGGATGTGCAATACTTTACACGTACTCTTACATAACGTGTGGCTTTAATGAGTCACACAAGTCTCCAACTCTGGAAGTTGTCATTATCAGAATAGTATTTTTCTCGTAAAATTTCAACTTTCTCACAATTTATTGCCTCTACTCAAATACTATACTCTTCGATTGCATCAGAATTTTTTTTTTTAAGTTAAAATTATACACTGTGATGTTCAACCTGATTAATAACTTGGCAAGATTCGGTTACTCCTAATGAAATCGATCTCTTGTCTATAACTTACAAACAAAAAAATAGTTTAATCTAATGAAGAATTCTTACCAGACGACTGGTTTTTCAAATAGTAAAAACTTCTGATCTCTATTTTACTTTTATCGAAAGTTACTCAATAGCTGATAATTAGCCTTTCATTTTGGATCAGGACATAGTTGCAATTTTCTTAAGAGTGTTTCGAACTAAAAGCAAAGAAATGAATCGCTTTCATACATTACACTCGAAACCGATAGGATTTTATTTTGACCGATATCTTGAAATTCTTAACTTAACCAGCAAAAAATTAGTTTGTTTAATATGTCAATGAATCAACGAGATAGTTTTTTCAAGTAAAGTTTATTACAACAGCTCTATGAAGATCATGAATAAAAACAAAATC